GCCTCCGCCCCCCTCAACAAGCAGGCTAATACAACTAATGGAGTCATCTACAGTGTTCGACAGTCTTGATGCTCTTTGAATAGACACCTGCTACCTTATTATTGAGATTTATCCACAGGGGAGTTGCTGTTTTGTAAATAAAGCTTGTGCATAAAGAACCTTTAGTGATGTCATAGTATTTTCAACATTGGAGATAATAGTCAATACTTCTTGAACAACACGTTACTTTATACTGACTGTCACCTTCGCTGTGACGCCCCCGCCCCCCCCACCCTCCTCTCACGGGCTCTCTCGTATCAGCTCTCTGCTCGAAGCCAGTAGCAGCAACCAGGGAAATGGTGAATGAGGTCCAGACTTGGATCTGACAGGTTTTTTTAAAAAGATGCCTCGTTTGTGCTGACCTACATCGCTTTTTCTTTCCAATCTTCTTTCCTACTGGGCCCCTGCCGGCTGTGGAGGCTGCCATGGGGACCAGTGGCCGGCCTGGAGAGTCAATAGGATGCTTGACTCACTGTGATTGCTGGCTCAGACACACAAAAGAAAGAGTCAGATATGCCAGTTGATAAAGGGTGGCAACCACTTCCTGCTTGATTAATACAGTACAGTCTGGCATTGTGCAACTCAGCGAGCGCAGTATGGCGTTCAGCTGCCGAGATCAGAACTCTGATTCCCACCGAGGCCACCAAGCAACAATGGACACATCCTAAGTGAAATGTAACAAACTGTAGATCCTAGATTTTGTATCCTTAGCTCCAAATGATGTACTAAAACTGTCTACTAAACTACTCTACTGTCTACTAAAATATTAGTAGACAATATAGATATTCAAATGTCATCAATATTCATTAAAAACAATACCTAGACAACAGTCTAAACGTCCCAGCACAAGGGATACATTCCCCCCAAATTATGTATAACAGAAGAGTATACATTAAGTAAACCACGGCATCAAACATGTGATACAGTGAACATCCCTGACAAAGAATGTTTTTCGTAAAAAGGAAGTGGGCCAGACGTGTCGGGAGCTTACTTTTTATATTTGAACTTGTCATGTATTCTCTGTATACACATCTTTCTGTAAAGCTTAGTTTTCATTCTGACTGACTGTTCAGACTTTGAAAACATATTCCTCTCTTACTTGTTGTGACATCAGCCCAAAGAGCCTGCATGATTTCAAGCTAAAATGGTGCATTTTCTTAATTTGAAAGGTTTTGAATGATCAACCACGCTGAAAGACCTTTCTGTATTACCCCACACCCCTTTCAGCAGTGTTCAAAATGTGACAAATATCTCTGTATCAGAGCATTAGAAAGAAGTGATTATCAACGGTGAAAGAATTCCATTATCATTCCTAGTGGTCCACAATCTGATATTCAAGCGTCCCATTTGCAGTCATTGTGGGCACAATGTTTTCTTGTTTTATAATGAATGGAAACATACTTATGCTCTATTTTAGAAATAGTTGCACATTTTACAAACTCTCTGTTTAGAATGGTGATTTGTCCGGGGCTAGTACTCTCTTATGGGTTTACTTGTTTTTATTTCCCGGTTGCGTCTCTGTGTGTGGTGATTCTCGGAACTCATTAAGATGCAGCTCTGCCACGCAACAGCAGTTTACCGAGATGATAATAACACAAACAGCTTCAGAGCTTCCATCATAGTTATCTGCAGGTGGGTGATTATGTCCAGTCCACCGCAGGGCTTTGGCCGGCCTACCACAGTGACCTAAACCGACTTGCATAATAAGAAGCTCCACGTGAGAGATAAGAGGACCTTCACTTATCGTAGAGAAAAAACCACTGGCTTTGAAGATAACGGATCAGCAAGAAACAAAATGTATCCTTTGACAATCATAATATAATCAACTTTAATCACAGCTGCTTTGGTGTCTTATGGGGTTTTATCTCCGAGATGTAATAAGTACAAGGAAGCTTTTGTAGGCAACAGCTTCGGATACTTCTTCATCCTAAATCCGAGATTAACATTAAACTTTTCACACAGGTAATAATGAACTTGGTACATTTGTTCAGGGTTGACTTTAGCATCACATCACTCTTACCTCTCGAAAACAAGTTATTCTGAAAGTTCTTCATGTGAGGTTATAAATAATGTAGGATATAAAAATAGAGCATATCTCAGCTTTTGATGATTTACTCATCGTCTGAGTGCTCGCGCTACAGTATCTGCCTTTAGATCGCCATTAAACTCGCAATACCGACAGATAAGTCATACATCTCTGGTTATGTAAGCTGCTTCCTTTGAACAAGGAAAAGAAGTGGAGTGTTTTATGAAATAAATATTGTACTATAACAACAAATACATTCCTTGGTTGCTGTGATGAAGATTGGTGATGTATGAGTGGATTATTAAAACAACATTTAAAAAAAATAATAATAACGTCCAGCTGGGCAGAGACTGAGGGGTAGACCAAGGACCAGGTGGAGGGATTATATCTCTTCGCTGGCCTCGGAGCGCCTTGGGATCCCCCAGTCAGAGCTGGTTGATCTGGACAGGGAAAGGAAAGTTTGGGGCTCTCTGCTGGAACTGCTACCTCCGCGACCCAAACACGGATAAGTGGGAGAAGATGGATGGATGGATAATAACATATACAATTAAACCTTTGATGAACTGACACACATCAACTCTGCAGTTCCTCTTTTAGTTCATGCTTTAGTTTTCACAGCCCCACATAAAGTGTTTACGTTTTAGTCTCACTGTTTTTATCAACCTTGTTTCCAACAGCAGCAGCAGCAGCAGCAGCAGCAGCAGCAGGAGGTAGCTGATTCCAGCAAAAAGACTCTGATAAAGTCACTGCACACATCCACACAAGAGCAAACAGACAGAGTAAGTAACTACCTGGTGAATGTAGTGGAAGGTTTAGTACCTGAATACCTAAAAGCTTTTTATCAGTTATTGGTGGAAGAGAAAACAGTGCTATGAAAGAGATTAACTATATTACGGTGGACACAAACACGGCTCCAAATGAATGCAAATGTATTTATGTGTCTGGGGTCTGTATGAACAGGCAAGTGTTTGCTAACATGTTCACCATAACACCGTCAATGTCGTGTTTACAACTTGTTATGCTGCCCTAGATTTGCAAAAAAGCAAACAGATTATACAGCTTCAATTATACATGTCTTAATAGAAGCAATAGGCTTGGTCTGTTTGCTTACTGTCCATATTTAGACATGACGTTGTACAAAGTGCTATCATTTCTCTATTACCAGATGTTGTGTTTGTAGATATTTGTGCTGCGAGCCGTATTTGATTTCATAAATAAACCAGCAGAATCGCAAACCTCTTTGGGAGTGTCTATTTGTATCTTTGATAGTTTCCTAGAAAGCCGAGAGCAAAGGTGTCCAACTCTTTCTGTCTCTCTTTCACTGGCTGACAGCGTCTTGTCTCGTCACATATATTTTTGGTCGGATCATTCCATGAAAACGCATGGAGCTGAGCGGGTAAGTACACAGACAGAGATGAGAGAGACGGACAGAGATGATGATGGAGAGCTGTTATTAGTGGTGGAAGGACACTAGTAGACTTGGCCCACGCAACCCCTGAGGGGGGAGGCACGCTGGCTGGCTGTGATTAGAGTAAGGTGCTTGACAGACCTCCAAACAATGAGAGGGAGAGAGGATGATGGGGGGGGGGGGGCGAGAGGTAAGCTGGTCCTCATCCCCCGTCTGACCCTTTGCCATTTTAAATTCAATTTAAAAAGCATAAACAAGGTTATAATTGGGGCAATTACTTCAAAAACAAGACACATGTGCTCCGCTTCCAAGACAGACAGCTATTTTTCATCTAGAATAAATTCACAAATGACCTAGTTAGAAAAAAGCACACTTGGATACACTGCAGAGATGTTAACTTCTATCTATAAAATCTAGTGTTATGTGGGACTACACCCTGGTTTACACTCACTAGAGTCAAAACAGTGGGTTAAGCACTTTATCTCTGAAACACTGTGATAAGAGGGCAGCCGGTTTAGTCCTTTGTTCGCCAGCTGAGAGATTGTGTTTTACTCTGACAGCTGCTCTGAGATTGCTCTCAGATCACTGGTAGAGGAGAGGTTAGCATATTTTTAGAGGAGTGTTTCATGCCAGGAACCTTACTACTAAATAATGAGGGTGCCCTTCTCCTCCTGTGCCTACGACTTGCAGATCAAACAGTGAAGCACCCAGATCAGCAGACTTACAAAAGGGGTGGAGGAAGAGCACAGATGACTTAAACAAATGTGATGAAAAGATGAAGCTGAGAATAACATCAAAAAGAAAACAAACAGAAAGAACATTTCTAACTCATAGAACAACAGTGTAGAGGAGGCTTTGAAACATCTTACAGTTAAATGAATAAGATACTGTATATAAGAAAAAAAAGGATTACCATGGGGACACTCAGTATTTCTAAAACCCTTGCTACAGCCCTGATATCAAGCCATGTTGATATTAATGTTATTGCATCACAATTTAATTTGAAAATGTATGATCTTCACATGTTTTAAAAAGGGTCAGCTTCTTTCAAGGTGCCAAAAGGTAAAGATGCTACTAACCGGCTTCAAGTGATTTAAAAAATTGAATACATTTACATTTTAAACGTTGGTTACATAAAAGTTCTCTCAGTCCTGCTTCAGATTTGATCAGTTTTAGGTAACATAAAAAAAATAGTTTAACCAAAACTTCTGATATTTTAAGATGTCCATTACAAAGGATATCCAATTTGCTGTGGGAGACTGTCCCCTGGCCTTTGAATTGTATAACCAAGTCTATTTTGGTGCACGACTCAGTGCACGTGAAAACATATAAAATAGAATAGTCCTATTTATTTTCAGTGTGAAGAGCAAAGAATGGTCACCAAAGATAGTCATAGAAGACTATAAATGACATATCGTTAAATCATTATGTAACTCTCCACTATGACAAACAGCTCCCTCTGCTACTCATTTTATTTTTGTGACTAACTGATAACATTTCTTATCTTCTCTCTCTTTCTCGCAATACCTCTTTTCCGGAGTGTCTTCATCTGCGGGGGCTTCCTGTAGATCTGGGAGGTTGGCAAAGTCATCCTGCTCAGCCAGGCCGATTGCTAGAGACAGAACAACCATCTTCCCCTCACTGGACACACAGACAGACACACATCACAAGAACACACAGGTGGAGAGGCACAGCAAGCCACACACACACACACACACACACACACACACACACACACACACACACACACACACACACACACACACACACACACACACACACACACACACACAGGCAGTGTCAGCACAGATTAATTTCACATATAAAAGAGAAGATACCATTTTATCTTTATTATTCATTCACGTTACGCTGTAGACCTGTGTACTAAGCAGTGAGATGAAAAGACAATACAGACGACACTCATCGTTTAACGCATACATATATTCACGCTGTTCTATATACAAACTATTTAACTGAGTTTCTGTGTTATAGCCAATGTTGTGTTAATACGATTTAAAGTTATGGCTTTTAGAAAATTAACAATAACATTAACCTTGAAATGCAATTTACAGTATAGTATACTTTTTGTTTTACGTCTTCAAATGATATGTGGCACCAAAATGACATCTGATTTGCATATTTTAACACTAATGCTTGCATTAAACATCTAAGTAATCAAAACGCATAATTGTTTTATTCTATAAATCACATAATTGGATAACATTATCCACCATTTCCAAGATCAGTATCTGTTTTAAACACATTTTATTCACTTTTTTTCTCTTTTCTTGTACTAGCCAATTAAGCTACATTAGAAGTAAGGAAATACATCGATTTTCTGTTGATGAAAGGAGATCAGAGACTGTTGGTTTTTTCCTTTACCAATCCCTTAACCAACTCTGTGAAGTGAGCATGTGTTTCCAAAAGCCATCCAGCCTTTGAATTGTATTTTTCTCACATTTGAGATCATTCTTGTATCCACCATTACCTAATGTTCTGTATTCTTGTAGCTTTACTATGAAAAGTTTGCTGGGTAGATGTTGTATTTAGTTCTTTAACACTGATATAAAATATGATTATGTATGGGTAATAGTGAGGTAAACCATGCATTTCTAATAGTAATTGTTTCATAGCATAATGTGTCTAATTAAAATACAGAGGGTGATACCAGGAGAATTTATCATGAGCCAACATGTGCTTTATAACCCGTTAGAAATATCCATGAGAAGCCTTTTCCTATAATTCATCATTACAATACATGAGGTTATATAATGCATCATTGACCAGTGTGCACGGGGATGTTTTCAATTTCTCATGAGTATTTCTTTTTATAGTTCTCTGTAGATAAAATAGTCATAGAATGTATTTGGCACAAATGAACATCATTAGCAAAAAGGATTAGAAACACTGATGCCTCCTAAGCTTTATCATCCCGTCTCATAGAAACATGAAGGTGGTAAAAAATAGAATAACAACACATGAGAAGAAGGGTTTGGATAGTTTCAGACAAAGAAAAATATTGAAAATATATACAGGAAAAAAGAGGAAAAGGAAATAAATCTATGTAAATTGAGTTGGCCTTAACAAAAACCTGCAGCAAAGAAACATCTCAAGTTGATTTTCAGCTGTTGTTCTTCCTCTAACCATGCCTCCCTCATTTAAATGACTTCTTACTGAAGTATGCTGCACCGTGAATTCAAGAGGCCACGCAAACACTGACCATAACAAATTACCATTTTCCCACAACCCACCTTGTCATTTATAGTCGTTAAGTGACAACCTGCATGCAGGCACATATTAAACACTATTGTTGCTTCAGACAACCTTCAATCCATCTACTTACAGCTGTAATTTCTTAAAGATTTGAAGCCATCATAATTTGGTTAAAATGTTTGCTTGGTCACATTATGAATGAGAGGGTCCAGCGTTAGTACTAACTCGAATATTTTACTATGACATCACAAATTAAGTGATAAGAATATGAAACAGTGACGGAAACCTTGAATGCGGTAAAGATTTTAATACTGCAAAAATGTATATATTACAGATACTATAGCTTAACCGAACAAAAATTGTAATGATGGACACATCAAGCAGTGTAATGAAATAGCAAGAGGATGAACAGATATTGTCTTATGTGTTTGCCTGGGACCAATCTTTTTTAGACCTTATTTTTCTGCTGTTCTTCTTCCTTTCATCTCTCTATGTCTCACACTTCTGATCTAATTTCCTAAGACTGTGGGCACTTTCTTTTGTGTTTTCCCTCCTTAATAAGAGGTTGTTTGTTGTACCAGTATCGACATCAGGAGAAACACATTAGCACTTGAGAGACCACTGGGGAGGTGTAAACAGTACCAACATGAGACCCGTCGATAAAGGTGAATGGATTTGTATAGATGTCCAAAAAAGACACCGAGCTCCAACCAGAGGGCTCTGAAATCATTACCACCTACACCAGCTCTATCGATCTGAAATGTAAGCGGGACGCTCAGCAGCCACACTCTGTGACAGGCATGGACACACGTGGAAAGGGAAACTGCTGGATTTGGTCGTTCATACCCCACTGATCACATAATATCCCGCAGAGTGTTTCCCCCCTCAGGGTCAACAACTGACATGATGGTCCAGTGAGATTCATGAGGACAGAGACAGTGGGCGATGCCACCTCCCTGTATGTGCCCAGCCTTATTTGAATGATGATTCACATAGGCAGGGAGGTCAGTGGCCTGGAGACACTGTTAATGGGAAGACACGCAAAAAGTACAGAAGTGTAGAGCTTTGTGTGTGGATGTGTATTGTGTGGGTGTCTATGTTCATGGGCAGGAGGGGAGGGGAGGTGTTTATGTGATGCTGCTTTATGAGGCACATCATCTGTAATCTATCATTCAAGTCAAGCAGAGAAGGAGAGCCCTCCGTGCTCGGTATCTCAAACAATCAGAAGCCTAAGCCCACTAGCAACAATCCAAATAAGTAGTGGATGAATCTGAAAACAGTGGGTAAAAACTAATGATCTTTAGTCAAAGTAAAGTCAGAATATAATTCTTTTGAATCCGGTCGGGTTAGGGTAACTATAATTTTTTGAGTTTCTGTCATTTCTTTCTAGATTTTCTGATAAAAAGCATGTTATTGTTGCATTATTAATAGAGACAGCTAGCTTAGTGAAGTTTATAAATGTGAAATGCTCTGGGTTTTGTTGCTAAAGCAAAGACACCCTGGTTCTGTTGCATAAGCTTCATAGTACAACCCCCCAGGTGCTTCTCAATCTAAACAATAAAAAAAGACAGTTTAGAGTTGTTGTGAAGTAGAATGTAGTTATGGGAGTTGTTGTCTTCTAAAACAAACCGCCCAAGTTTTTAAAACGGACATAAGCACCAAATAGAGCCGTTTCTGGTTAAAAATGGGTGCTTATCCGATTCTGCTCGGCACACCGAGTTAGTAGCAAATACATCGTACTATGGACAAGTTTTTGAAAATAAGTTTAGGTTCCTCAGACTCTGGAGTTACTAGGTTTTCGTTAAATACACAATACACTTGTTAATTATATGACACTATATTCAGGTGTTTTACCTACACTTCTGCATCTAGCAACAAACACAATCAAACACACAAATGACAAACAAAGGACTGAAAGACAACCAAAAAATCACTATGCAGCATATTCTCTGAGAGAAGACAATATGACCTACTGATGGTGGACACATATACCTGACTAGCTTTGATTGTGAATTTTTCAAATGACTCATAAATCAAGCTCCCTAACTATACCCCAAAAAAATCCTCATATCACGTTGAATCACCAAATCTGCAAAAGCCTCGAGAACTCAAAAATGCAGGGTTTTCGGTCATGCTTCACAGAGTAGAAAACTTGATAAAACTCACAAAAACGATTTGACATCCAGTCCTCTGTGGCGGATCTGCTCCATCATGTGATCCCAGCTGCCGGGGTTTGACCTCGATCGACCTGCCCCAGTTCCTCTGTACCGGGAGGCTCCAGCCGGGCTCCCCCGGACCCCGCGCGGGCCCCCGCGATGGCCCCCGCCTCCCGGGCCTGTGTGCAGCTGGCCCAGGCTCTGTGAGGTTACTGGGGGGTCGTTAGGACCCGGGGGGGGTTGGTGAGTGAGGGGCTGTTGGAGGCTTTGCTGGCGGACCAGGGGACGAGGGCGCCCCACGGCCGAGGATGGGATGTGTTCCAGCGTGGAGGCAGAGGAGAGGGAAGCATCTCCGAAACTGAGCAGACACAAGGGAGCAGCGAGGACAGAGATGGATACAACAAGGAAGACAGTTAGAGATAACATGAGGCACATAGAACAGGGCAGGTCGTTTTGTAAAAGGATTGAAGAGAGATGAAAGTATAAAGACAAAAGGGGTAACACGTAACCATGTTGAATTTAAAAGTTAAACACAGGAGACAAAAATGGCAAAAAAGATATATAGATGCAGTGAATTTCAATGGGAGAGGGGATCAAGAGAGAAAAAATACAGAAGATCAGTGAAAGAGGGAGAGAAAGAAGAACAGAGTTGTCAAAAAGATTTAGATTACTCTTTAACATCTGGATAAAAACAACTGTGTAGTTTCAAGCTTAGGCTGCATGACAGTGTACTGTTTGAGTATGTGGCATGCAAAGCGTGAACATTAAATTATTCTTCTCCAAACTGGTGTCAAAACAAACCTCTGCAGTTGGAGTGGAATTAAATTGGAGCTAGTATCATTATCCCTTCAATTGAGTCTCTGTTCTCCATCTGCAGCGCTAAATTGTTTCTGTACATTACCTCTTCCCCCTAATTAGCCTTGACCTACTTCTACCTTCGCACATATTGCTCCCACCAGTCCTCCTCTGAGGTCCTGTCTGCTCCTGCTCCCTCCCTCCTTTACCTTTGAGCTTCTGAGCTCTCCATCTCCTCTGACCATTCATCTTCCCTCCACCCTCAGCCCTCTCATCAATCCATCTCCACACGACCTTCAATCACCGTTCTTTAAGTCTGCTCTATAATTACCAGTCTGCTACTCTTACAATCATGTAATAATGCTTCACTGCTTATCCTCCCTTCAATCACTGCCCTGCCTGATAACTGTAAGCTTTTTCTAAACAGCTCTATCTGCAGCTAATGCTGCGAGGGAGGATTTACTGCCTGGACTTGAGTTGTGTTAGCGCTCGCTCTTCAGTATTAACTGGGCTCAAACTCTGCTGGAGAGCCAGGAGACAAGCCTTCTGAGGAGCAGAGCAATGCTGGATCAAGTAAATACAGAGCTCATATACATGCATCCATGCATCTATCACACACACACCGCACACTATTAGGTTTTTCCTCAGGATAGGCTTTGATGAGAATGTTTATTTACTCGTGCATAATATTTAAACTGAATAAATGAGAATGAATGTAAAATAAGTATTTATATGTTTTCTGTTGAGACTTGTTATAAAGTTTAGAGGCGAGAAGAGTTTGGGCATTTAGTGTTTCAGAGGTACCAGTCTGGTTTATTTTCTGCATAGATAACTTTAGACATCTGTTGCACTTCCGAGACTTGGATAAAACCCCCAGTTGAATAATTGGTCAAAAAGATGAGCAACTGCATACAAAGACAATCAGCTTGTTTGATAAAACAGACAAGGGTTATGCCTATGCATTAAACTCAACACCATGACATTTATGAAAAATACAATCAAGTTCTGTTTTCTTCAATCACTTTTTTAAAGTTTAGGGTTAATTGTCAATTTTGCCAACGTTTTTGGTTCCCAAAAGCAACAATCAAAGTTTCAGCTCTGATTCACACTTCTGTTTTTCTCTATAGCAACTGCATTTGAGGCTTATTGTTATCGCTGCCATAAAGTGAAAACGCTATATATAACACATGAACTGAACATCTTAAGGTGTCTATTTTTAAGCTAACCTTGCAACAATGCTTTTTTTTTTACAGTGGCCATGTAGGTTTCAATTTTTTACAAGATCACTTTTCCCTCCACATGATGAAGTGTTGCACCTGAGAAATCAAGAGACTCGTCATGTGCCATGAGAAATTATGGATAAAGGTGAAATGAAATGTTACACGTAGAAAGCTTTACGTAGCACATTATCTCTGGGTTCAACAAACATGTTATAACTGACATTATGATAAATCAATACATCTGGCTAGATTCATGGTGGCATTAGGCCAGACAGCTGGGAGCCAGGCCATGTGTTAATACATTTTGCCAGTCTGTTCAGTGACGTCAATTTGGCAAAGACAAAGAATTTGAAGACTTCTTTCTTAACAATGATTTCCTTGACTATTATTTTTCCTGAGCTTTCAGGTGTTCATTGTTATTGTCTTCTGCGCCTGTAAAGCACCCGCAGCAGTCATTCGTATTCCCTGAGCATGAGCCCTCTTTATCTGCTGTATTCTATTACTGACTTAGAGGGTTATTTTCACAATTCTTCTTGCTTGAAAGTCAATTAAGATGAGTGTAAACCTTGAATGATTTTGTAATTATGTAAAAATTGAGGAGGGTGAAGAACAAGGAGACAGAGTCAGAGCGAGAAAGAAAGAAAGAAAGAAAGGGAAAAAAGACAACAGTGAAGAGTGAACTAAGGAGTGGGAGACAGAGACGGGGAGGTGGAGAGGTAAATGCCCAAAAATAGAAACCAATTCCAGAGGAGAAATGGAAATACAGGTAGATCTGAAAGGAGGGGTGACAGGAGTGTAGAATTCTACAATTCAAATTCAAGTCCAACAAATATTTTGCAAGTCTAATTGTCATGTTGCCACGTACTGTATACTATGAGATCTATTTGAAACTTTGTGGAAACATTCAAACATGAAAAATGATTCATTAATTATGCATTTAAGCAAATTATAATGTCTATTAATATAACAATCTGAAGGCAGAGTTTTGCTTTCTTGTTTCTAATACATCTGCTCCATCATATCAATGACGCACATTAGTATTGTAGGGCTTAAGAGGCTGTTTCATTATCAGGGCTACCTGTCTTATATAAAAATATTGTATATTCGTCTCTTGAATGTGCAAAAAATATGCAGTATACTTGAGGTGAGGATGCACTTTGTTTGAGAGTGTCCTACAATCAGCTGTTGGATGGTTGGCAGCTGACATAAACATTGTGTTTCTGAGTGACGAAGCTCTCTGTACTCAAGAGACTTGAACCTTCAGTTACTCATCATCACAGGAACACTCTGCAAAGCAGCTGGCTTCTCTTTCTGGCCCGTCCTTACATCATCTTCATCCGTATGGTGTCCGAAACAGCTTCTGTTGATGTCCATCTTTGAGTAGACATGCAACTATGCTGTTCACCATGTTTCAAAAGAATCTCACTCTTCCTTGATATCCACACCATGCTGTTGCTGTGTAGCCCCTCATGCGTGCCCCCTGTCACCATGCGCCACTCACTTGCTAAACCGTAGGCCTCCGGCATGCATGTGGCTCTGGATGGTCTGCCAGCGCCCGGCCTTGCTTCCCCCCGTCAACATGCTCCGAACGCTGTCACTGCGACTGGGCCCCGCCCCAGAGCAAGCACCAACCCCGCTGTCACTGGCCCCCGGCGAGGGTCCAGCACCGCCATGCCCACCCTTATCCCCGGCCCCACTGGGAGGAAAAGTGGGCCGGATCAGAGACAAAGAAACACGGACAGACAGACAGAAGGAAAAGACCAGGATACAAAGCAGAGAGACAGACGGACAGACGGGAGACAGACGCACAGACGAACAGAGCCGAGAGCAAAAGAACCATCAGTAACATTATTCAAACTGGTGAGTGAGACACTTTGGGAGCCACAAGTGTCCAGTAAACAAAAGCAATAGCACCAGCTGCTGCCGGTCAGCAAGACCTTCATTAAAACAGCCGTGAAGAGGTCTGGGCTGAGATTTACTGTGCAGTGAGTAAATTGGAGAACAGTTCACAGTTTCTGTGGATACTTGACTGAGAGAAAAACACTTCTTCCATACTACATCAGCTCTGTTCAACACTGCAAACATGTGATGGCCAATGGTTTACTTGCTTTTATATAAGGAGACAATTTGCAATGCTCAATGCACTCGTATAGTGCAAAATATGAACACATATTTAGAATAAATTGCTAAATAACAAATTTCACAAATAAATCTGTTATTTAAAATATATGGGAGATGCTAAACAGGCCCCAGAGTTACAAGGATTTGGAGAGGGAGCAGGTCGGCATTATTTCAACACACATAGGGGACAGCAATGACCAACCTCTCTGCTCCTGCGCACATACTGTAGCTGAGCAACAACACAGCTGCACCTTCAGATTTTGACATGCTGTTAAGACAACACTTTAACTCTTATTTCACAGCGAGGGTTTATGTAAAACCTATTGATAGTAAAATCGTGCCACCCAACCCACCCAAGGCTATCCTCGACGTAAAGACTTCACAGAGACGAGAACAGGCAGAACATCGACTTCAGTACAAGGACATGTTACACAGCTTAATACCAAGACAATGTCTTCAACAACATTTAGACAAGTGTGGGCGGACGGTAAAATGAATGATTTCTCACTGAACAGTTAGATATTTTCCATTTACCCTTGCTGCTGTTAGCCATACTCACACACGATATATCAGTGTTCTGAAGACTCTCCCATGATTTATTTCTCAGCTGCACGTCTATTACCTTTGGGGCAAAAATGCTACTGCACACAAACTACACTATACATGTCATTTTGTTTTCTGCTTTGTTTTCTGTTTATAAACCTCTGTATAAGTTTGGCTTGTTGCTTTTTTTGTGAGTTAGTAAGAAGAATTACAGGTAAAACGACTGACCTGATTTCCATTAAACTAGTAGCCCAGGCCGCAGCAGAATCCATTACTTTTTGGAATAAATCCAAATCACAGGGCCAATATTTTTATGGAAATGGCCTTGGCGGAGTTCGGTGCTCTTCAAATGCCCTTCTAGATTTGTGTTGCCGTTTTTCTAATGCATTTCTTCACGTGTATGTAATTACTTTGAATTAGCTGAGTTTTTAAAAGGTGACAAACAAAGCTACATAAAAGTATAATTATCTCCACAGTCAGAAAGATAATTAAATAGTTGACTCATTGATCTGCTATCAGAATGCTATCTCAGAAATTGAATTATAATTAGCCCATTAAACGCCACATAAATATAAATAATCTGAATAACGTAATGCTCACTGATTGTTCAATAATTTCAACATCTCTGCACAGAGTAATTGATCACCTTGTGGTTTTGAAAGAGTCAAGAGAGTTGTAATTAGAGAGGATGAGAATGAACAGGTTGACTGAATTCCTCAGTGATGTGTGATATGCATCTAGATGATGAAATAGAGGTTCATATGAAACAGACACTTAATCGCTGTACTGTACACAAAAGGATGGTGTCACTATTTTTAGAATAGAGCTCAATAGAGCCGACCCAGGAGGGCTATCAGGCAGCCTTGAAGCACTTACAGTACTATGAGTGATGATGAGAGTAGTGCCAACAAATGAGTAGAAAACACAGAGCAAGTGGAGAGAGAAGTGAGGGGAGAAAAACAAACACACAACTTTACACAAAAACAACAGTGAAAAGAACAGAAACTACCCCATTAAAGAAACAGTGGAACATTTTTGGGAAATATGCTCTTATGTTTTTTGGCAGTCAGATCAAAGACCACTCTGTCTGCTCGGGGAAAAAAAGATAAAATATGAATCGTGTATAAAAATAAAGCACATCTACCTTATATTTAAACAAACCAGACCTGGTGTTGCTTATCTTATCCAACTCACTGCCAGAGGACAAATAGGCATATTTCCAAAAATGTCAAACCATTCCTGATAACTAACCCATTAAAAAAACAAGACATTTAAAAAATCCACATCACCCAACCGTTTGTTGAAACTCTAGTGGCTTAGGCAAGTATACATTTGAGTCAAACAGATTTGAATAATTGGGGTAAAGAGGCTGGGGGGTATAATAAGGGGGAAAGTTTTATGTGAGACGTGCTCTCTGAGGGTTGTCCGTCTCCATGGTAACACTCCATGGGCTGCAGGTGAGAGTAAAGAGGGTCTGATGAGGCGGGCAGGGCTGCAGGGAACGGGGCTGTCAAACCTTTGTGCATTAATAATATTTCCCAGATTGGATGTTGTGTGTTAAAATGTAACTGTAACAAATGGGTCTCCAACATTCATTTGATTCTCTCTGTAATCCTCTAAATACAATCCTGAATTAAAGCCTGTTTTCAGATAGGATATATCCATTAATTTGATACAGCTGTCAGCAGACAGATCCTTTATAAAAGGGTTGTCATTTCTGTCAATGTTAGGGCAGCCCTAGGAATCACAGCAATATTGAGGGATGGCGCCGCATGGCCAGCAGTGCATACTAAACACCCCAACGCTGCCGACACGCCTGAAAGCAACACATGAGGATTACCAGGGATGAGAGGGGACTTCGGTTAAGAGACATGTGGCCAGACAGTGTTACAAAAAGAGGAATCTGCCCCCCTTAAGGGTATTTAATGTGGCCTTTTCACTGCTCAAAGTGATATATTGATCAACCTTCGCCTTTGATTTGTCAAAAACGTATGCACACAAGTATCTGAATCAAAAAAATGTTGTGTGTGCAAAACACATATTCTTCTGTGCCAATATTGCCTGATTGTTTTATGTGAAGTGGTTATATAGCTTTGTGGGAGTTTTCCACAAGTGCACACAAGCCCCTGTTCATTACAGCCCTGCCCAGATTGAGGGGTCCCTTACCAGCCATGACTGAGACTCACTTGGGCGTGAGGCGAGGGTCTCCGTAGGGGGCATAGGGAGACATGTTTAAGAGGAACTCCTTGGGCGGGTAGGAGCTCCACCTCTGTTGCACGTTGCTGCTGTCATTGTTATTCCAAAAGTCTCTGTCCATGTCATTGTGGCTGGAAAAAGAGAGGAAGCAATCAAATAAAGTTATAAAGAAAACACGACAGATGAAAAGAGTGCCGAGAAAAAGAAATCATAGAAAGAGCAAAAAGTTATAACACTGTCTCATAAATCTAAAGGTCATGGAGGTAATCTTAATAGATAGGAAAATGTGATAATGTCAATGTCTATAAAGTTACATTCTAAAACAGGGCACAGTTCTCTAAACATAGATACGGATGAATATAAGGTGAGTCTAATTATATATAGCTTGAACAGTTCCACGGGATAGATGGAAGGTTTAAGATCAGTCTGTTGTCATTTGCTCGGCCAAACTCTTACAGCATGGAAAATAATACCACTTTAATTTAGGAAGAAGAATTGACCTACAGGTTAATCACTCTGTCATAGACGAGGAAACAAATGAACCAGAGGACACAGACAAGTCATTATGGAGAAAAAACAACAGGTAAGTGAAAAAAACATGAATTGCTTATGAGCTGAGGTCAAACGAAAGTAAAAAAGTAACAAATGACTGACACATTGTAACGTTTGTCCTTAAATGAACGCACTTCAGCACATCGAATTTAAATAATGATAATAACAGTTCACTTAACCACTGATCTCAAAAAGACAGCGTTGTGAATTAATTTCTTAAATTTGCTGTTTTTAGGTTAAGTTTTAGGTTCTTTGTGTTTTTTCAGTTAAGCTTGTATATTTCCAACTGAATAAAAGAAATGCAGTGAAGAAGTTTAACTTATTTATCTATAATCCAGTGTTTGAGTTATACAAACAGAATATACGAGTAACCTTTTCAACTGTTTTCTGAACTGAAGAGAATGTATTCAACTCCTTTGATAAATGAGACATTTTTAACAATGCCTTGAGGGCATCATTTCACGGCGGACATTTCAGACCGTGTAAGGGGGTGGATACAAGATTAGCTTTCCAATCAAAACCGGCTGTTAAAATGCGATACTATCACCACATTGTAGATGATTTCCATATGCTTCCATCCAAACCCTCTGACACCTACTTGATAGCTTTATTTTCCCCTCGACCTCTCACAGAATCTGGAGAACTGGCGGCCTCCACCCCAGGCTTATTCCTCTTCCCCTGCGGAAAAACAAGAGGCAGACGGAGACAGAGCCAGGGTTTGATCGTTTACTAAAGCATTTTTCTAAGTGAAGTGCACATTACAGAGGCTTTGGAACAGCATCAGGTCCAAGACATGTTGTAAAAATATGATAAACGAGGGAAGAGCAGCAATTGGTCTGATGCCAGGGCCTACTTCTGAGGATCAAATCATGACGAGGGACCACTTAACTTCAATCAGATGCTAAAACAAAGAGGTCTTCACACACGAACAATGAAAATGTACATGCTTTTTACATAATGCACCGTTCTAGGACGTACATCAGACACAGTAATACTCTGTGATACAAACTGTATCCAAGCAGGATTTGTACTGTATAAATGTAATGAAAATGTAAATCTCAATGACATACAAAACTAAATATGTGTTAAATTCAATGAAATGTAGAGCCCTCTCGTCAATGGTTGGAAAAAAGCTGACATTAAATCGGGTATTACCACTGTTAAGGCTGGAGTTATATTCATATTTATGCGTTAGGGGGTTAAAGCATAGCTACAGTTCCTAGAGATGCTGTAGCTACATCCCTGCAGCTCCTAAAAAATGTAACTACATGTCAGTACTAAAGCAGCTACGGTGATGCACCTTTAAGGCCAAAAGAACAGTGTTTGGTGAGCTTGGGCTGCTTGTGTTTTCTCCTATAAGTCTCCTATGCCGCAGGAGATTGTGTAGACCTCATTAAAGAAGTAGAAGAGGTAGTCTTCTTCTTTTCAGTATAACACATACAGCAAATCAATCTCTCAACTGCAAATCTTCTGCTTACAACAATTGTTGCTCTCCATCACAGTGAAAAACACGATTTCAACATAATTACTGCGGGGTGTAGAATTGCAGGAATGACCCAGCCTTCATGTACGATCCATCCATCTATAGAGTAGTACTGCGCTGTTGTTATCAACGGGTCAAATCTTACACTGAACTACATATCACAATGCCGTGGCCACGATAGTAAAACTAAAACACACCGAACAAGATATAGATAACTTTACAGATAGTATTCTCCCCAAAGCAGACAATACCAAACTCTGAACCTGAGGAACAGGGTCATTTGGAAGAGGAAATAGGAAGCATGCAAATTGTATACATTGCTTTTGCAGTCTGGTATACAGCCTATTTGACTCACTCTGTGCAGTGTTACCACATAACGGATAGTGCTTTCAGCAGAGCAATATACACTAGTTACAGTTATTGAGCTTTACGTTTTATTGAACTCTACATGTATTCTACTCTTGAGGGTGATAACACCGAGCTCTCTTCAGCTGAGTCACAGAGACCCTCTACTCTTACATAATATGTTCCATTGTAACCTCAGCCAGGCAACAAGGACATAAAGAGCACATATGCCGTTAAAGCTACTAAATAGAGTGGTGCAGGGATGATGTATTTTTGTAGGCCGACGCGGAAGTAAGCTGCGCATGGGTTCCCTCGACAAAAAAGCAATGTGATTCCTCCATATGATTTTGGAATATTGTAAAAAATAAGATCTGTGGAAAACGAACCTGTTTGATAAATGCAAGTCTTGTTCAGCCGGATAATATCCACATTTATAAAACGGACAAGTCAAATCAAGCAATCTGATTGGTTCTTAGCCGTGATATACTGAGCGTATACCACGGGTAGAATTGTAAGTTACTTTTCACAACAAGTCAGTATCCCTCCGCGTCTACTAAAAACAGTATACCGTTGGGCTGAAAAGCAAACTGCCTGCAGTTTGCTTTTCAAACTGGAACAAGAAAGCAGCGGAGAAGTAACGGGGCAGAAGCTGGGCAGAAGCCCTCCTTTTTGACGCAGCGGTCCAGACATAGACATCAAACGGCAAAACATATTCAGTGTGCAGTTCCTTTGGCATTAGGGCAGGGATATCTAGATACTTTTGAAGGTTTAACACAATGAATTGTGCTACTTTTAAAGCAAGCAACGATGTTTTCAAATCTGTAATCAAAGAGGTCCGCAAAAACGCTATCGACCAATCAGATTGCTTGATTTGACTTGTCAGTTTTATAAATATATGCGTTTTTGCGGACCTCTTTGATTACAGATTTGAAAACATCGTTGCTTGCNTCTCATTCATAACACTCCGTTCGATGTCTCACTATGGGATGCGCCTCATCGCGGAGCAAACAGAAGCATCAATCTCATTACGCCAATCCTGATTGGCTGGTGATCTTGACGTCAGCGTCAGGGAATCCACCCACCCTGTAAGTAGCTTGCGCCACGTTGCAGCGTCATTCAAACACCTCTTCTCGCTTCAGAGCACATCTCGACATATCAGTAGCCGGGCTAGCTTAACAGTCCACAGACTGAACCCAAAGCTAACTTTCGGTCGACGGGCGTTCACCGGCTACTTTTCTGCTTTGCAAGAAGACTGTTAATACTAACACACCAGTTAGTATTGCAATCTACCTCGCCGTTTCTTTCTTCGGAAATAAAGGTACGGTTTTGATTTTTCAAGCTAGTAACACACCTGTTGCTAGCTTGCCTTTCCTCACTACCGACACCACGGTAGCGAGGACGTTTTTTCTTTTTCTCTCTCACACCAGAGGAGGGGAAGATAAAAAGGTATTAACACACCAGTTAATATTCTTTGAGAATAAAATTATACACCGTCGCTTTTTCTCCGGATTAACGACAGGGGGGAAATAATTTTTTCTCGGCAACGTACCTGTTACGAGCGGGTCCTCTCCACGCCGTCACCACGGCGAACGAGATGGACGCTTCTCTCCCTCACACCAGAGGAGTCAGGGACTCGGAGGCTCGGCTCTGCGGCTACCTGTTAAGTTCTGGTTGGGTTTGTTGATTTTCGAGATAAGCTTGTCTGGCAATACGGGAGCTTCAATATCCCATAGTGAGACATCGAACGGAGTGTTATGAATGAGAACTATAGGTTACTTACGTAAACCCAGTTCTCAGAGTAACATGAAGTGAGATGTCTCACCAGACGGCCCTCCTTGCTAAGGTGAAGCGAGAAGAGGTGCTTATTTTGAACGACGCTGCGATGTGGCGCATGCTACTTATAGGGTGGGTGGATTCCCTGACGCTGACGTCAAGATCACCAGCCAATCAGGATTGGCGTAATGAGATTGATGCTTCTGTTTGCTCCGCGATGAGGCGCATCCCATAGTGAGACATCTCAATACATGTTACTCTGAGAACTGGGGTTACGTAAGTAACCTATAGTTTTGCGTTAGCCAATCAAGTCGTTCCCCAATAATCTTTTTACACCTAACAACGCCACACAGAAGAGTGATATTTTTGTGGCACATCTGGCGACTGGGAAAAGGTAAACAATTTGATCCCAGCTGACTTCAAATAACTACTCAAAATATCAAACTGGAGTGAAGCTAGTAATAACTTCAGTACATTATGTTACACTTTAACGTAAAAGTCTATAACAATGTGTGACGGAGCAGATCACATGAGTGACTGACTCCGCCACTGACAGCCGTCATGGGATCATCAGCCGCATCTTCCCCAGCTGCAAAGTGTACACACACACACACACACACACACACACACACACACACACACACACACACACACACACACACACACACACACACACACACACACACACACACACACACACACACACACACACACACACACACACACACACACACACACACACACACACACCAAACATTTCCTGCTCTCTTCCGATGAACCATGCAATTTATTATTTATTGTGCGTTTGTTAATTTGTTAAATGATTAGGCTATGTTAAGAGGTGGTTAACCTGTTTATGTTTGGGTCGGATTTTTTATGTTGACAATGTGGTTTTGAGGTAGTTGCGTCACCTGTTGACGGTAAGCCTGTGGGAGGGGCTATGGGCTCAAAAGGGACGGGGTTTGGCCCTGGAGATATCACTCGGAAGAATGTTGCAGTAAAGGCAACAGCTGGGACATGTTTGGGAGTTTGTTGCAGAGAAGGCAACACCTGAGCATGTTTACTCTGAATGAGTGATGGACGGCCTGTTTTTGGGACTTTTATTTTGTTGTTTCAGTTGCGCTGGTTCGCTGTTTATTTTTTTGGCTGCTGTAAATAAAGGTTTTTTTAGCTTAAAACAACTGACTAAGCCATGTTTCGAACGGACAATTAGAGCCCCGTCACACAATGATTTATCAGTTGGCTTTTCATCAGTCACCCATCATTATGTTGAGAAAGAGAAATGAACATTACCAATCTCAGTTTAAAATAAACTCCTAGTGAATATACAGGTATACCTTCATTAGGAATTCAGTGTTCAATCATTTGTTGTGAATTGCTGAATAATTTTGAAGACTATGCTGTGACTGTGGGGGAGAGAGAGTGCTGCAAGTAGAGAGAAAGAAAGAGAGAAACAGTTTTTAAGGTTATTTTTCTAATGAGAAGTTCTAATCAATTGTCTTATAAATTATATAATTACCACAAGGGAAAGCAATGGCATGTTGGCAAAGAGTCTGCAAGTAGGAAGGTGGTCGACAAGAATAACTTAATTAATATGAAAATATAGAGATGGCACACAACTTCCTGTAATTAAATATAAATGTGCGTATGCATTACGTTTAGGGATTAGTAACTTAATGATCTTAGACTTCATGCGGTTACTGTAAAGTACATAACTGAGAGTGAACAAGTACGAGAGAGGGAGAAAGTTTGAGTGAATGAAGCAGTACTGAAGAGTCTCTTGTTTACACTGGGAGCCATGGGAGGTGCCCAGTGTGATACCGAACACAGCACAGTGGGTGCTGAACCTGGAGGTAATTGAATCCTCATTTATTTAACCTTTCGCGAGCTGACATTACATCATAACAGCAGTAGAGCATGTCAACTACTCTTTATTAATGTTATTATCATCATCATCATTATTTTGTTATCAAGACCATTTTCATCACAGATCTCAGAGCAGACACATTATAATTCAGAATCAATAGATCCGTATAGTGGGAACTTTAAACCAACATGCTTGAGACAAGCTGTGGATGAAATCCTAGAGGGGCCTCTGATTTTTGAATCTCAATGACAGCTGAGCAAATGTGATTTGGCTGAAAATTGTGTCAAAAACTATGAAGTGGACCTTGAGTGCTTATTGTTGTGTGTGTAATATGTATTTGTGTTTATACTGAACAGAATAACTAACTAAGTTATTATGTAAATTCCGATACAATCTTTGGAAAAAGCATCAGTATCTTCATGAACATTTGAATTCATGATCACTGAAGTAGAATCTAAAACCACCAACAAATCAAAGCCCACTGCAGCTAAACTGAAGCAACAGTGATGAGGCTGATGATTGACATCTAATGTCAGCCATCAGCTGCTTGATTGATCTAGATTACATCTTATTCAGTTCCAACACAGCTAGTGGAGGAGCAGCTTCCTGCAGCCAGATGTCCATCCTGTCCCGTGGCCACCCTGCAGGCAGTGGAAGTCACTGTGACTCCAAAGAGAGGGGTTCGTCCCAGGTGGCCGAACCACCTCAGCTGGCTCTCTTTAAAGTGGAGGAGCAGTTGCTCGACACAGAGGTCATTTTGGTTCACTGAGCTCCATGCTCTGTCATGAATTGTTAACATTTATGTGTCCATTTGCTGCTTCGCTTTGGTGTGGAGCTTTGCCATCGAACTGAATTTGCTCGTACTATATTTTATGTATACGTTCACTACAAATACAGATATGAGTAAGACACATAGAAACCCAGTTATGTAATGTTTCTAATAACATTTTAAAAGTACTTTAAAAGCTCAAGTGCTGGTGGATAATGATAATATTATGAGGCCAGTTTAATGCAACAGATATTCATTTTGTGAGAGGGAGTAGTGGATTTTGAGGTTATGAGCTCACTCCTTCGCATTGATCTTTTTCTCAAGTTACGCTACATACATATTCCTTGTGGGGCTAGCAGCTAAGACAAAACAAATGTTTGTTGTGAATGTTGTTGTAGTAAAGTGAGAGCTGAACCACAGAGCAGGGTTAAAAGATGTGACTCTAAATGAGGTTTCTCTGTAGGAATTGGAGCGTTACTCTTGCAAATTTGTTTGGTGAGAGTTTAGTAAGTGCATCTTATCTCTTTGTGCAATTTGGGAATGTGAATGAGAATCTACAACTGTGTATTCAGATCTCTAAGTGCACCCAGATTACCCCATATGTACTGTCAATGGAATATCTATGGGACAGAAACTGGGAACATGATCCAAAGAAGGCAAAATGAGGGAGATACAAACTCATTCTTGCAGTTGAATACAACCTAAATTAGGAACCTGCAAAACAATCATGCCTGGCGTTAGCTTTATTTGTAGCAGCTCAGGCCAGTTTGTCCATCAGGTCTCAATTTAGCCTGCGGGTAAAGGGCCAGTGGGGAGGGACCCTGTCCATGGTGCTGAAATGTAGAGCTGCAACTTGTGACTGTTCCAGAAAATATACATTCTCAATTGGATGTTGAGGCTGTAAGATTGTGCAGCTGATTTTTCAGTAGCAAATTTGGTTTTATTATAAGTATTATTGCCTAGGATTGGTTGAATTGGTAACTTTTGTTGTTTTCATAATGTAGGTCCTGGAGTTCATTTTGAAATGACTTGTGCAACAAACACGTGTCGAGCAGCTAATCTATCACGTTCATATAACAAAACATCTTCCACTTGAACCAATGAACTGAACAGTGACAATCATGACTGCCTTGTTAAACTTCGTTATTACATAATGTTTTATCATTTTTGATTTGCTTGTGGAAAATGATAGTGTCCCCCTGCTGATACCAAGTGAGCTCTGTGTCCACAAACATAGGTCTGGCCATTTGAAAAGGAAAGTCATTGTTCTTTCCTCCTGCTTTTGTTCTCTCCAGCTGCAGTGTGTATTTCAGCGTCTTTAGCTGTGTTTCAACATTACTTTCAGTTTTTTCTCTGTGTTGCTCCAAATTGTCAAGGAAACACCCGTGAGATTGAGAACACTTATCTGTAAAGCATTAAAACGCTTTTGAAAGTGATGTTACCATAACACTTTCTCTGCTGTCAGACTGAAAGGCTCAGAGCGAGAACAAATTGAACCCTATAATCAAACCAACACCATATTCTGCCATGTCTAATAACTCACCATTTAAAAATAGATACCTGATTTAACGGGCAAATATAATTTAATTTGGGTGAGGCTGGTTGGTAAAGAGGAGCTGACACTTTAATAAGTGGAGGAATTCAAACGGCTAAATGCAAGGATAAAAACCTTCCATAAATGTAAGCTGGATGAGCCTGTTGGAGACATACAAGGACAGATTCAATATAAGGTTGTACCAGGCAGCCTTGCGGTTAATTATCTTTGTGAACAACAACAACAACAAAATCAATTTCTAAACAGCCCTCCAAGTATATTTATTCAATGCCATGTGCCTCAGGCAGTTCATTTGAAACTTTTATTCAAGTAACCTTCTTCTGATATCCTTTGTTCCCCTTTTTTTTTTTAAACTAAAGAACTAAACTGAAGTTGGCACTGATTTTTCCCTCAAGCATTGTTGGGCATTGAATCCCTTAATACTTAATACTTTAAAGTAGGTAGAAATAAAAGTATGGAAAAAAGAGAGATGGGCGGCCATGCGACAAACCAGAGAGCCTCCAAGTGAACACTGTTTTAACCCAACTCAATAATGCCCTGTAATAATTTGTATGCTTGCATTTGTACAACTTGAAACTTGAAAAAGCCCCCTGAGCTTTTAGAAAGGTTTAGTGACCTTTGTTTTGTTATTAGTGATGACTTGTAGGAATACTAATGTTACTAAATAATAACAGACTCACTTTGTTGAAAAGGTGCATAATGCAGCTGAAAGAGACGTAGAAAGGAAGCTTATAACATGTGTAGAAAGAAGGTGGATCAGGATGATTAAATTGGCTTAGCTAATCCACTTCTTCTGATGTTGGCACGGAAAGAAACGTATAAATGTTTTACATGCTCAGGCAAAGATGGAAAGTGAAATGAAGGGATAAGGAAAGAATCAGCAGTGGGATAAATGTTTCGCGTAGAAAGAGGCTTAGAAAAAAGATCTCCTGTTGTGTTGAGAAAAAGGATGTAGCAGAGTTATGAGCTCAATGTTTGCAGATAGTGTTTTGCCAGCGTGCTTTTGCATTTTGAATGACTTGGCAGACAAGGCGGCTGAAACTGAATGAACGGCATTGTTGAGAGGTGGTAATTGAAAGACTTAAGAGATGAGGAATAGAAGGCTGTGGAAGAAGTTTTCATCTGTCAAGACGCGAACAGAGTTGCTGAAGGATTTACAAGATAGAAGAGAGAAAACGGAAGCTAGTAATTGCATGGCTTCTGGCCCCATGATATTATCTCTTCCTGACATGTGCGCATCTCCTATTGATACATGCAGGGAACATGAGCATGAAGCAGTTTCAGTGCCTCCATGTCACTTCCCTCCCACTCCCGTTACATTTATCTTTGTGTCTTACTGATGACAGATGCCAAATGACAAGGATGAATGGAGAGGGGAAGGAAGCCACATTACAATGCATGGTTATGATTATACAGTACGTTCTCCACTGAAACGGGGCGTTTTCTCACACTACGTATTTATACTCCAACATCGACTTTGAATCTCAGGAGACCCAACAGGGCAAGTGTTATAATAAATGCACTAATACCCTCCTCTCTGTGTCTCTCTCCCTCAGGCTCGGTGTCTCTCAGTGTGTTCCTGGTGTCTGTTGCATCTGTAGTATGTGCCGTTTGGCTGGTGGCTCTATGTGGCGTCTGCACCTGGTGTCAAAGGAAACTGGTAAGTTACACTGCTCATTATTCACTTCTAAATATTGACATTTATTTGAAAGGTTTTTAGAAAGTTATTCAAATGAGCCAAGGCCCTGTTGTAAACAACAAGGCATTTGGGAATTTTGCATGACCAAGCTTGTTTCTGTTTTGAATGTGATGGACAGGAACAGAAGTATTTCATACAACACAGCTGCAATAAAGAGCTAATGAATTTTAATGAATCATTTTTAGCCTAGCTTTTTTCATGTTAACACAACATTCTTATTCTTTTGTTTTATTGAATCGTTTTTACAAAATAATAACAATATTTTTGATTGACTCTAACTAGTGATAAACAAGCTCAACCCATTATGCAGATGTTTTTTAATTAATATATTTTTGAGTTCACTTTACAAAATTGGGATCTGCATGTATCCCGATAGTCTGTATGTTATATTTAAAACTTTGCCCAAATATAAATCTGTTGAAAATGAGAAAACATGTGATTTCAATCCGGATC